AAGGCAGGAGCAATCTATATCTTTAGCGTCCAGAGCAGTCAGCAACTATTTCTGATGGATTTACTGACATCCATATTCTGCAGATTTTGCAGTAACTAGAACAGAATGTGATACTTTACTCAATAAATGTTTGTGGAATGAATAAGTCAACTCTCAAGGTAAACATTAGTGCCCGCCCAGCCTCACAGACGAGGAGCATACCCTGCCACGTGGTGGGCACTCTCATTTCCACGGTACTTAGCTGAATCTGCAGCAGTTGCCTTTGCAGAGGGTGGGTCAGGAGTTTGTTCCTGTACCAGGAAGTTGGGATCCTGTTGGGGGAGTGCATCACGTTTCCCTTGGACAGTAAACACTATGTTCTTGATAATTCTCAGGCACCTGCTCAGCAAACTGCATCCCTAGGGAGCTGAATACCGCAGGTCCTCCTGGAGGTCCCAAATTTGATGTAGTAGAAGGCCATAGGTAGAGCTTCTCTTGCTCCATGCTAACGCCACTCACAAGTCCACCAACACAGTGGCCGTCCTTTGAGCTCTGGGACTGCTGGGGAGCCTTGGGCTGAGTAAACAATCTCTTAGTGGAGAAGGTGACTCCCCTTGCCCAAGGGATTGGTGCTCCGTAGGAAGAAAATGATTTAATCCCAAATGGCACAGCTTTCTGGTGTATTGGGAAAGGATGAAAAGACTTGAGACGTGAGCACCTCAAAGGCCACTAGAATGGACACGAGAATGAGAACCAGGAAATACCGTTCTGAGCGCTGCCATCAGCTAACTGCGTGGCCCTGGGAAAACCACAGTGGGGGCTTCAGTTCCTTCTGTACAACAGATTAACTGGCTTACCTCTAAGATCCTTCCATCTTAAACAGTCTATGCATGCTTTCACTGTGTTTTTTGCCTATTTGGTATCAGTCTCCAGTCGTCAAATATGTTTGCCTCAAAGTGATATGTCTCTCTGGCTAATATTTTCCCTGCTTACTCAAGTTTCTGGCTAATGTCTCATCATTTTCTGCATCCTTCTGGGATTTCTAGAAAACTCTGATATCCGCCTCTTTACATCTGGTTTATAAAGCAAGGAGCTGATCTCTAGTTGACTTTGTTTCAACTGCTATGTTTCAGAACCAGCCCTAATCACCCAGACTACCAAATCAAGACTCTAAAACATAAACAAAGGAGTTTTCCTAATCAGAACCATCTCATGGCTGGACTCACTTGAGTTCAGAGAGGTCAGAACTATTGCAGCCCAAGTTACTCAGACCTTGAGGCCTCCAAGGTCACCTGGCCAAGGGTGGTTGGTATTTTTAGAAACTGGTATAGAGTAACTACTGAGAAATGTGAGAGCGATAAAATTACTTTCAGCAGGATTTGTTGGCTGAACTGAATAATCTTGAAGCCTGTTTTATGTTGTGATGACAAGGTGAACAAAGGGTATAGGAATGTGGGATCTGACATATTCAGAATTTTTTTTTTTTTAACAAGCTTCTGGATGGAGCTGATCTTAAACACCAAAGAGCACATGCTCTGTCTTGGAACTAGTATGGCATCTTTGGTGTTTTGAGGGCTGCAGCACCAGGGGAACAGGGTTCTCTGTCTAGGAGCTCAGAAAACTCTTCCGTAATGGGTATAATGGCAACAGGGGTGGCCATGCCAGCAGTGAGAAGGGAGGGACATTTCAGTGTAGCTGCCAGTCTCGGGGCAAGGGGCAAAAACAGAGATGTGATGTGTGAGCATCTAAGAGGCCACGTTAAGATCGGTTATATGCCATAAGTTTTCATAGAAAATCTCCGAAAACTTAAAAGAAAATTCTTGGTTTGTTGAGTTGCTTTTGGTGTTTTCTTCTTTGTTTTAGATTGTCTTTTAGGAAATCAAAACTTCTTATTATTAATCACATCAATGACTATCATTCATTAAGAACCTAACATAGTTGAGGTTTGCGATGTCTAATATGGGAGCTACATGGGATTATTTATACTGGAATTAAATATAGTTAAAAACTCAGTTCGTCAGTCACACTAGCCACATTGCAAATAATGATTACCCACCTATCACTAGTAACTTCCATATAAGACGGGCAGAATAGGGAATGTTCATTATTGCAGAAAATTCTACTAGACAGTGCTGTAGGCACTCTCTGCCATGTCTTGGGGGTATTATTCCTAATCCTCTTCACATCTCTGCACAGTTAGTATTACTACCTCAGTTTGCTGCTAAGAAATCAGATTTCAGAAGGGTTTGGTGATTCGGCGAAATTCACATACAGAGTAAGTGGCAGAGGTAGGACATGATTTTAAGTTGGTCTGATTCCTAAACCCCTTGTTCCACTTTGTAGCATGTTTCTTGATTACAACATCTCATCATGGAACCTTCTTTTTTAAAAAGTTTTTCAAAGGTATACTCACCAAATAGAATTATCATTGATATACTGAGGATTTAAGTAGACAGTCTGCTACACTAGCAAAGTGATGGGATAAGTGGTCAGAAGAATGGCACAGGAGCATCCGTATGCTTCTGTGTGAACACACCCTGTCACAGCTGGGCAAACTCAATTTAGAAGCTGTTACACTATAGCTGATAATTCATAGTCTGATGATGAAAACAATCTACCGTTCTGCTAAAGTCAATAGGCCTTGACCTGCCATCGGCTGTCACCTATAAACAATGAGAAATAAGCAGAAGTTATGACTCCATCTTATATGAATTCATGCTGTGTCTAAGGCAGGAAGAGTGTGTATATAGTTCTAGAATGTACCTCAAGAAAACGTTCAAAGAACTGGATAGAAAGATTCCAGGTATGGGAAACTAAACTCATTAAAGAAATAGATAACCTCTACATGAAGGGAGGAAGAAATATGAGAGTTTTTGCCAAAGGAGTGATGAAGGAGGGACTGGGCCTGGAGTAGCTGGTCTCTGTGTTTCTCAAGGACAGGAGCGAGCTTTGTCTTTCTCACTTCCTACCGCACGTGCACGTAACTGACAAACTTTTGCTGTTCATCAATTGTTTCTTGAATTGAACTAATTGTAAGAATTTCCTGTCTCTAAAAATCCTGATAAATAATTAGAATCATGGGATAGAGGGTACGATGTGGCATTTCAGTCAATTTTTACATAAGAGCAACTTGGCTCTCCTCCAACCTGTGCGGCACCCTTGTCTTTGATATTGTGTTCAGTTTATGTGGCTAACACTTGTTGCGGTTAACCTTCCAAAACTCACTGTGGAAGACAAGCTTCACCACCGCCCACCCCAGCCCCTCAGAGGTGCAGGTCCTTCAAAGTCCGCAGAGCTCAGCTCCCAGGGAGTCTGTGTGCCCCTCCTCACATGTTATACAATGACCTGAGTACAGACTGTGAGTCCTTGAAGTTTGGGTGTCCTCCCTGGAAGGCAAGTTGGACAGAAATGACCTCAGCTGTACTCAGACGTAAGAGAGGACAGCATGTAATGATACAGAGAATAGGAGCCAAGCCAGAGGGCAGTGGAGGGAATGGAGTAACCAGAGGGAAACACTCTCATCTTGCCAACTTTTTTCTACTTCTAGGCAAGCGGTCATCTTCAAAGCCACTTCTTGTCAAGGTTACAGTGACAGGAGGCAGATCCCGCCTTACCCCTGCATGCCATGGATATTCATACCTTATATGAATAGGACATTTATCAGCCGAAGTGCCAGGTTCTGTGACTCACTGGGGAACAAAATGGTGGCACACGTTGGGTGGTTGTTAGCTTTCCAAGAGTCCAAATCCCAGAGCTGAGAGTTCCTGCTCTGAGTATGGGTAGGAAAGTTTTAGTGAGCTCTCTTTTGCAAGGAGGGCTTCCTAACATCTGCAAGCCACAAACCAAGGCCAGTGCCTGGAGACTGGTGGAGGAGTGATCTGATAGTTCCCTCTACCTTGGGATCTGTGGGGTGTGGATAAAGGAGACTCAACAAAGCAGAGGATGTCATAGGGATGAGAAGGAAGGAAAGCTCTCCTTAACAGCTCTCAGTCTCTGCTGCTAGCTTTTCAGTTTCTCCATAGAGCATTTTTATGCCAGGTCAGTACATTTAGAAAGCTGTCCGGTCACGCTGGGAATGTGCCTCAAGTCATCCGTTAAACAGCTGTTGAGCCTCATTCTGCAGTGCCTGGCTATGTTGGGCCTATGTGAACCCACAGGAGGGTTTGTACACTAGCTACACCAGCAACGGTGAGGGGAGTAGAGAAGGTCCCGCAGGAAGAGAGGCCTGAAATAAAACAGGCAAACTGAGCAACTAGATAAACAGTGAGGGAACAGTATTCTAGGCCACAGGAGTAGCATGTGCAGAGGCCTATAGGTGAGTGAGAGCATGAATATTCAGGGGGAAAAAGGATCATTGTGATTGGAGCATAAAACATAAAAGTGGGAGCAGTGTGGATGCTGATGGAGAGATGGGAAGGCCCCATACACCCAGCAGCTCACGTCAGCTGAGTACTGGTACGAACCCAGCGCTTAGTTTTATGTGCATGGTTTCACTTATTATTCACAACAACCTAGGAAGTAGTTACTATTATTCTCTCCACCTTTAAAAATAAGGGAACTGTGGCTTGGTAAATTCATATGACTGGCCTGTGATCATCATTCTATAGTTAATTAATGAGAGTACCAGAATTTGAACCCAGGCAGTCTGTTCTTTCTACTGTAAGAACAGTACAAAAGACATTAATATACTCATTAGCTAGATTCTTCTAGATTTGTGAATTGTCAGTATTTTTCCATAAGCAATCCCCAGGATTAAGTGATAGAATTAAATGACATAATTAAGTTAGAGTTGTGGAATCACTGCTCAAAACCCAATCTTGCCCTGAGTGGTGTGGCTCGGTGGGTTGAGCATGGTTCTGCAAAGCGAAAGGTCACTGGTTTGATTCCCAGTCAGGGCACATGTCTGGGTTGCAGGCCTGCTCCCCGGTTTGGGGCTCTTGCGAGAGGCAACTATTCAACATTGATGTTTCTCTCCCTTACTCTCTCCCTTCCCCTCTCTCTAAAAATAAATAAATAAATAATTTTTTTTTTTTTGAAAAGTTAAAAATTCCTTAATTTTTTATTCCTGGTACCACTACCACAATTTACAGGGCAATATACCTGATGTAATGAAAAGAAAAAGAAAAAGACAAAGCTACAACAGATAAAAGACCTCAGGAATGTACATCTAATTGACACTACATTGCATTAATCAATAGCTGCACTTTTTGTAAACTGTGGCTATGACAGTCCTGAACAAGAAGGGTTTTTCCTGTTTAAGCTGCAGTAACTTTTCTGACTATGGATCATCGTTCCTCCTGTGGCAGATTTTTACAGTTCCTCTAATGCATTTGGGACGACTGTCTCAAAGTAACCTGCAGCTTTCCTGACAACTCCTCGCTCTCTCTCCTGCTAAGAACTGTAGCCCTTTTCTGCTGAGTTTTTAGAACCTTCTGCTACCATATCCACCACTTCCACCACCAGATCCATAACCACCACCATAGGGGCTGCCCGAGCTTCTTCCACCAAAACTGCCCCCCCCTTTCATGGGTCCATAATTTGACTGCTGTTGTCCACTGTAATTTCCAAAATCATTATAGTTCCCACCACCACCGTAGTTCCCACCAAAATTCCCCCCTTTGTTGTAACCATCATAGCCTCCACCGCCACCATATCCACCACCTTGGTTCCCATACCCTGGTCCACCGCCATAGCCTCCTCTACTACTATAACCAGGACCACTGCCGTAGTTGCCACCATCACCTCCAAATCCATTATATCCACCATCACCTCCTCCATAACTACCTCTGCTGCCACCTCCACCATAGCCTCCTCTTCCACCAAAGTTTCCACCACGGCCAAAGTTACCTCCACCACCTCCAAAGTTTCCTCCACGGCCCATAAAGTTGCCAGATCCACCTCCACGGCCTCTCTGCGATCCAGCAGACTGCATTTCTTGTTTAGAAAGGGCCTTTTTCACTTCACAATTATGCCCATTAATAGTGTGGTATTTCTGAACAACAATTTTATCAACTGTATCATGATCATCAAAAGTTACAAAAGCAAATCCTCTTTTTTTCCCACGCTGCCTATCTTCCATAACTTCTATGGTTTCAATCTTGCCATACTTTTCAAAGTAGTCTCTCAAATTATATTCTTCTGTATCTTCTTTAATACCTCCAACAAAAATTTTCTTCACTGTTAGATGGGCACCAGGCTTTACAGAATCCTCTCTAGAAACAGCTCTCTTTGGTTCCACTACACGCCCATCAACCTTGTGTGGTCGAGCACACATTGCGGCATCCACCTCTTCAACACAAGAGTAAGTCACAAAACCAAAGCCCCGGGAACGTTTTGTTTGGGGGTCTCTCATCACCACACAATCTGTGAGTGTGCCCCATTTCTCAAAATGTTCTCTTAAACTATCGTCTGTAGTTTCAAAGCTCAAACCACCAATAAACAGTTTTCTCAACTGCTCTGGTTCCTTTGGATCGTGGCCCTCCATTTTGAGATCGGACTCGCCTCTTCCAACTCGAGTTCAATATATCAATAAATAATTTTTTAAAAACCCAAATCTTAACCAAGCTCACTGAATCACAATGCTTTATACTTTGGTTAAAAGAATTACTAATTAATATTAGAATTTAATTATATAACTCATTCCTCTATTCCTTCAGTAATGAAGTCACCATTTATTTATTGAGTACCTAGTATGTCCTAACACTGTTGTAGACACTAGGAATGAATGAGTGAACAAAAATATACAAACATTCTTGTCTCCACAGAATCTGCATTTCTAATGAGGAGAGTGAGGAAGTTAAAATTAACAACAAAAAAAGAATAAACAGAATTAGGGTTTCTTTTTACAAACAGAACTTTTTAATCTTAATATAGTTAAATATATCCATATTTTTATGTGTTCTATTTAAGAATATTTTCCCTAACAAAGTCTAAAAGATATTTATTTTCTACTACAATTATTTCCCAATGTTTTATTTTACAATATATAAAGCTACGGAAATATCGTAAGAACAGTACAAAGAACACTAATATATTCATTAGCTAGATTCACCTAGATTTGTGAGTTGTCAATATTTTCCCATATGTAAAAATGTTTATTACAACTATTATTAGTTCTATGAACCATTTGGAAATAAGCGGCAGACATTGAACACTTTACCCTTAAATTGTTTAGTAGGTGTTTCCCACATTCTTCTCCCAACAACAATGCAACTGCAATATTCAAGAAATGTTATACTGTTTTGTTATACAGTATGTATTTCATATTCTAATTTTTACAGTTGTGTTAATAATGTCTTATATAGCATACAAATATATGTATATTTGGATTCAAGGTCCAATCAGGGATCACGTATTGCATTTACTTGTCGTGATCCTTAAAGCTTCTTTAATCTCATACCCTAGCCTCTTTTTTGTCTTTTCTGAAAATGACAGCCTTTAAGAATCGAGACCAATTATTTTGCAGAATGTTTCTCTATAAGGATTGTTCTGATTGTTTCCCCTGTTTAGATTCAAGCTGGTATTTGGTCCGGATCTTACTGGCAGTCACAGGTCCCTGATAAAAGTTCCCATCTCCTCTGGTACTTCTATTAAAAACTCAAGTTCCTTTTCAGTCATCCCATTAATAGTGGCACAGGTTAAATTACTGTAACAGAGACTCAAAAATTTGGGGTTAAACAAGATAGATTTTAATTTCTCTCTCACATAATAGTCCACAGGCAAACAGTCCGCAGTCCTGGTAGAGTGGCTCTGCTCCATAGAGTCATCCAGGAACCCAGGGTCCTTCTATCCTATTGCTCCACCATTGTCATCCTCCACATTTGTTCTTCTCAAGGGCAAAGCTGCCTCACTAGCACCACATCTGAATTTCAGCTCGCAGGATGGGGGAGGAGGGTACAGTCCATGTGGCTTCCTCTTTTTAAAGGATGAAGCCTAGAAGCTGCTCTTGTATTTTCCATTTGCACTCTTCAGCCAGATGCCACATCCAGGCACAAAGGTGGCTGAGAACGGCAACGCAGAGCTGGGGAGCCGGTTGCCCCACTGGAACGCCCCTGATTACATTAACAAAAGGAAGAAGGAGAGAGCGGACGCCCGGGGGCCGTCAGTGGTCTCTGCCGGAGTCGTCCCCCAGGCTGTTATTTCCGTTCGTGAAGACACAATGCATGAACAAGCCGATTCAGCTCATTAACCTAACTATTTCCTTAGGTTGCTGTTCATGATACTTACGCATGAAATTCATTAATTAATTTTTAAAAGGCACAAATACGCTGAGAGTTAGCTATGGCATAATGTCAAAAATGACCTTACAAGATGCTTCAGTTTATTTTCTCATTCTATATGTGATGAAACAGTAGCGACCTCACAGCTAGTTAACTGTAAACTAAGTCTTGGAACCAGAGATTGCCTCTGCATGTCATACAACCTCCTGCTGATGTGGGGCCAGTCTCCCCTTCCTCGCAAGTCCGGCCCAGTTACTCTATAGTCCAGGTAACGTCTCTGTCTCTTGGAAGTCATCTGGGGAAGAAAGCGTGTGAAGAAAACATTGTCGAAAGTGTTTGCTTGAGTCATGCTTTGGAAACTTTTTAAAACTAAGAGAAGAGGCCGGGCACGCCCACTGTCCCTCATACTTAAGGACTATTGCTTCCATCCTTGCCAGGCTCCATCGTCAGCCACTGCCCAGGTCCCAGAGCCCTTGAAGACATCAAACCATGCACAGCTGTTTCTGTCAACAGCTTCCAGGAAGACATAACCTTGTCTTTTAACTCTCTTTCCACTTTTATATGAAAAGGCCTCACAGCATTTTTTTATTTTTGCTTTCATTCTCTTAGATTCTTATTGTGAAATATTTCAAATATTAAAAACAAGAGCAGAGAATGAGATCACATTAGTAGTAGTATATCTACTACTGAATTTAAAGGACTCTTTCCCGTCTGCCATATTTTTCAAAATAACACCTATTATTTTATTTTTTTTTATTGTTTATGCTGTTATGATGATCCCCACTTTTCCTGCCATATTTGCTGCAAGATTTTTTAAAGTATATAAAACGTTAAGATAATCTGTCAAGGTTTGAGTTCATTCCCTTTCTCCTCTCCCTCTTCTTCCCTCCTGTGAAGTAACTAATAAAGTTTTGAAATTTTCTCCATTGAGGTCTTCCATACATTTATCTGTCGGCGTTATTCATTGATACATCATAATTATTGTTGTTACTGTGCATGGGCTTCTTTATATCTCTTTTGTTTTAAGGCTAGAGAAAGGTATTTTATTTGTTTTGTTTTTGGGAAGTCCTTGTGGTTTTGAGACCCTAGGAAGCAATGGAGGTTGTGTTCTCATCCATACACATCACTGTGTTTGTTTTGTTTTTAATTTAAGATATGTTAGAGTTTTCGGAGCTGCAGTAACGAATGGCCACAAGCTCTGAGATTTGGAACAAGAGAGATTGACTCTTTCACAGTCCTGGAGACCAGAAGTCAGATAGCAAGATGTCAGCAAGGCTGAGCTCCCTACCCAGGCTCTAGGGTAAAATTCTTCCTTTCCTCTTTCAGCTTCCGGTGGCTGCCAGCATTCCATGGTTTGGGGCAATATCACTCTAGTCTCTGCCTCTGTTGCCTTCATTGTCTTCTCCTTGATTGTCTGTTGTAAAATTTCCCTTGGCGACATTTGGGATTGTATTTAGAGCTCACTCAGGTAGCCCAGAATCACTTTTCCATCCCAAGATGCTTAATGTCATTTGCAAAGTCTTTACTACTCACTGGTTCCAAGAATTGAGACATGGACATCTGAGGAGGCCCCTTCTACAGGGGTTATACTTAAATTTGTAACATGCAGATACTCAACTCTAAGTTGTTCTAAAGAAGTATAGAGTTGACCACAGCAAGGCCCATGGAGTGCTTTATTTTTAGAAGAGTATCCCATCTTATTTTTGTTACATATTTTATTTCTCCACATTTTTAAAAATCCTCATTCAAGGATATTTTTTCATTGCTTTTAGAGAGTGAAGAAGAGGAAGAGAGAGAGAGAGAGAGAGAGAGAGAGAGAGAGAATCAGTGATCGATTGCATTTTCATACATGCCCTGACTGGGAATCAAACCTGCAACCCCTTGTTCTACAGGATGACACTCCAACCAACTGAGCAGCACCAGCCAGGGCTATTTCTACACATTTCAATAAACAAGATTTTTTGTATTTAATTAATTATATTGTCATTTGCTGTCCATTTACGTTACCATTGTTTCTTGTATTCTTGGTTCACTTTTTTCTTGCTGAAATATTTTACAGATCTCTGAGTGAGGATCTGTGGCTGATTCATTCTCTTGTTCATCTTATATCTGAGAAGTCCTTTCTTTTGTCTTTAGTCTTTAATGATTCTTTTACTGAGCAGAAAATCCTTTTTACAATCATAGTCCCTCAGTACTTTAACATATTACTCCCTTGTCACCCATTGCAGCTGATGGGGATTATGCTCCATGTCAGACTCTTAGTGAGTTATCTGCCCTTTGTTTCTGGCAGTTCATTACATTCTGTTTAGATTTTTTTTTTCAGTCCTTTGTTTAAATTTATTTCAACTCACAAATTCTCTCTTCAAATAGTCCATACAGGATTCACATCTTTATTTGATTTTGGGAAATTCTTCTCAATCCTGTCTTCAAATACTGCCTCTTCACCATTTCCTTCACTCTGTTCTAGAATGTCTAATCACAAAGGTTCGGCCCTCACACTCCATCCTCTATGTTTTACACCTGCGGTGTACTGATTTGCTAACCTCTTTGTGAATTTTGTGCTTAATTCTGTTTAGATTTATTTCAGTTTTCTAATCTTCCAATTTATAACTTTTCTCTTCAATAGTCTACTCAAGGCTTAGCCATAGGCAGCATTCAGGTGTGGTGAGAGCTGGGGCTCTGCTGCCCACCCGTCTAGGTGCAATTCCACTCCTACTGTTTATTAGCCGATGGGCTCGGAAAAACTACTAGCTTCTCTGGACCTCAGTTTTCCCATCTGTAAGATGGGGATGATAGTACTTACTTCATAGTGTTTATGAACGTTGAGAGCCAATATATGTAAAGCACTTAAAATAGTTCTTACCGCACAATTAATATTGTTCAATTAATATCTAGATTTATTTCAAAACATTTTGAAAGAATTGATTTTCATATCCTTTTTAATCGCTGCCTTTAAAAATAATTATTGTTTTAAATACTAATTATATCTTCATTTATCTCTTTGAACATCATAAACATCCCTACTTTTTTAAGATTTTATTTATTTATTTTTAAAGAGACAGGGAAGGAGGGAGAAAGACAGGTAGAGAAACAATGATGGGTGAGAGATACATCGGCCAGTTGCCTCTCTCACAGCCCCCAACTGGGGACCTGGCCTGCAACCCAGGGATGTGCCCTTACTGGGCATTGAACCAGCGACCTTTTGGTTCACAGGCCAGCACTCAATCCACTGAGCCAGGGCATAAACATCTTTACTTTTAAGTGTTTTTCATAATACTTAAGTGGAATGCTCCATAAAC